GGGCCTAATGGTTCCGGCAGCCCAACTGTTACAAATCAAATTGTTGCCAACGCCCCATTTCACTTATTAAAATGGAAGCTGAAAATTCTTTTATCTGGGCGGCCGAGCGCTTCAAGCTGCTCGGAAACACGCCGAGGCCCGCCAAGGCTGTGAGGTAGCAAACTTTGGTTTACGTTTGCGCCGTTCATTAGGCCCGTTTTAAAACCACCATCATAGAAAGTCACACTTTGATCCCTTCACAGGCATCTGGTTTCACAAAGCATTTCAGAACTTTTTGTTTTTTTACATGTAGAGTGGATATGAAAAGTTTACACACCTCTGTTCAAATGCTAGGTTTTGTTGATCATTAAAAAAAAAAAAAAAAATGAGATGAAGATTAATTCCAAAACTTTCTCCACCATTTATGTGAACTAAGCCTCAACAAAATTAAGTCTTTGAGAGGGGAAGTAAAATAAAACAACTGAGATGATGGGCTTGCACAAGTATGCACACCCTCATAAGTGGGATGTGGTTGTGTTCAGAATTAACCAATTAAACTCATGTTAGCACCACCTGGCACCCTTTGAAGTGCAGCTGATTTACCGCAAATAAAGCTCAGGTGTTCCAGTAGGCTTTTCCTGACATTTTCTTGGCTTTCTATAGTAGAAGCTTGCAGGTTTTGTGCAAATACCGACTGCTATTTCCAACTGGTCATCATTGCTTCTGCCTTGACTACAGGTCCCCAGCTGCACCCGAACCTTTGGGTCACTCTCGACTGGTGTCCAGCCAATCACAGGCCCTGCTATTTCAGTGTACGCTTCTCATTGTTTAAAGTGCTTATTGTTGATGTGCTCTGCAATATAATTGTATCCAACTAGAGAAATGTGGAAATTATTATGGCTTTCCATCCAACGCCCACCACAAAGAGTGATGAGTGTGCAAAGCACAGGCCACGGTTTTATTTGAATCATGTGAGTGTACCTTTCTTCGATTTTGATTTAGTCGTGACCTTTTCTTCTCCTGGGTCACTGATGGTGTAACGGGGCTCACTCAGCGTGGGTTGAGTTCCCACTCACAAATGACGGTGTGAACATGAATGGTTGTCCCTCTCTGTGCCGTTGGATTGACTGGCAACCATTCCAGAGGGTTGATTGGCTCCATCTTATCTGGGTAAGTGCTATAAAAAATGGATGGATGGAGTTTCAACTCTTCCAGAAGATTGGCGGTTTTATTTGAGCTTATACCTGATTGTGTTGGGCAACGTTTATGGTCCAAGCAATTGGACAAATGCCGAGCGTGAGATGAGAAGTCCTTGGTGAACCTATTCGGCTCACGGCGCCATTTGAAAAGTTCTGAGGGAACCTTCACCCGGTCCTTTTATTGTCGACTTTAGACCTTGTACCAGAAGACTTTAAACTCTCCGATGAACTATTTCACGGATGCCAGAAAGATGGGAGAAGCCTTTCTGTGTCAGAGGTGGAAAGAAGGTCTAATCTGTTCAAAATGGTTCTTGTCTTCTGTTCAGATTGTGAACTAAAGGAATGAGTCACTAACCAAGGCAGAGGTTGTCCGTCTACATGACTGCCAAGCGAAATGCGCTAATAAGCATTTCCGATGATGGACGACAACACTTATCACGCAGTGGACGCCTATCAGGGAGCTGAAAAAAAGTATCAAAAGAAATCAAAAGTGGTGGGTACGAATGACCTGTTTGCTGCATTTCAGAAAGTTATTGGGCCAACCTAATAAGGTGATGATGGTCGTGAGGTGTGAAAGTGGGCGGTGGGTAACAGCAGTTACTCAATGCTTGCCACACACCAATAGCCTCACGTTAAAGCGATGCCATCTCGTTAACTTGCCTCTTGCATGAGTGAAGACGAATAAATGTGATTTGGAGCCCGCTCGCTGACCGATGGCTGCGGCCTGAGGAAATGCGCGCACGCAAAATCTCCGGCTGGAGACTCCGAAACACCGTGATGTCTCAATGTGCAGATGGAAAGGAGAAAAGGGCCATTTTGTGAGGACACGCAACCTGGGAAACGGCCTGGAACAAATTCATCGCATTGGCTATTTGTAGCTATGGCGGAATGCGTATTATGTTTGAATAGATTTCCAGCTGATGTGAATGATGTGCATACAACCGACATCGCATTAGTCAACGCTGAGAAAAACGAACCAGCACTTAACGACAACCTTTCACGACCGGAATTTACAGGAGGGCATGAAAGGCTTACGACACACTCCCATCAGCTGGGGAAAATTAATGAACATCTCGTGTGTTTACATGCTTCGACTAGTAGGCAAAGCTTCCCTGGCATCCGCATCGCTCCACGTCCATTTTCATCTGCGTGCTTAACGTCCACTCCTGACAGCGCGCGCTCTGCTCTCAAAGTGAGTGCAGCTGACCGAAGGTAAGTGAGCGCAGTCAGTAAGTCGGTGCAAATCAGTGCACAAGAGTACGACACGGCAAGTCGACAGACACAAAATAGTCGCCACCTCCACACCAATGTTAAAAAAAAACGAGTGGATGCAATGAACGCATCGGCATCAATGCAGCATTTGCTGCATCCCGTTCCAGTGATATAAGGAGCCGTGTATTCGATGTGACGGCTGCAAAATAGGCATGACGGCATGAGATCTTAACTGATTTTATATTTAGTGCATCCACGTCAGACATAAAAAGCCATTAAAAAAAAAAAAAAAAAAAAAGGCGACGGCAAGATTGATCCATTTCTTACCTCTGACAGTCGCGTTGGAAGGCTTCACTTTTTGTGTTCTGCCGCTTCTCGCTGCCACTCATGAAATATTTACCCACTCAAAGAAATATACTGCCAGCAATCAACGCCTGATGCTCTTGCAAAAACATCCTGCTGAGATTCAAAAAAAAAAAGAAAAGAAAAAGGAGACAAAAAAGCTCGAGGACATGCCAAAGAATTTGTAAAAAAATGTGGCAGAAGGGGTGGGAGCGCAACGGTGAGGAGAGAACGAGCGAGTAATTCTTGGGCAGCTGTTGAAATATTAAATAGCCAATAATTGTATGCTTGTCGGCTGACAGTGGAGAGCCGCTCGTGTTGATGGATGGGAGAGGAGCTCTCAGTGAGGGCGAGTGAGGAAGAGAGGAAGAGAGAGAGAGAGCGAGAGAGCGAGAGAGCGAGAGAGCGAGAGAGCGAGAGAGAGAGAGAGAGAGAGAGAGACAGAGACAGAGAGAGAGTGGGGGGTGATTAAGATTGAGGAGACACCCCTGGGGGACTCTCTATCATTTCACTGCTGCCCTCTGTATCTTAACGCCCAACACGATGTCGCCCAAAGATAATGAATCTGTTAACGGGGATTTAACGGGAGTTGGGTCAGGGTTGGTGCACCGCTTCTCATTCCGACCCCCCACTCCACATCAACTTGACCAATCTCCATCCGGAGCGGCGGAATGAAGCTTGGCCAGATTACAGCGGGAACAGCGCAGGACAATTTTAGCAATCCGCTCACATGTGAGATGCAAAACAGTGCGCTCCTGGCCAAGGAGGAGAGCAATGTACTCGAGAGATGCACATTAAATGAGTGTAAGTGGCGGCTAAACACTCTGGTGAATGCAGGGGAGGGGTGGGATGTTGGAAAAGGCAGTGAAGAAGGCGGGGGGGGAGGGGGGGGGATTCCCAGGGAGTGATGCTGAGAGGCGACGGAGTGAACAATGAAAGCGGTTTGGCATGGAGGCTGCACAAGAGTGACAAGGAGGAGAACATGTGACCACGTGGGGGGAAGTGATGATTTGGGAAGAATTGAGGAGGGGCATTGAAAAGGTGGGAAGAAGCAAACTAGAAAAAAAAAAAAGAAAAAAAT